TATATTTATTCAGTATGTCTAAATCGACAATGGAATTATTTCAGACTTAAGAACACAGTTTATGCAGCTCCCTCTCTGGTGTGGTTGAAATAAAGTGAAGAAACTAAAATAATAGAATGGCATAGAAAATAAATTAGCGTTTGCGAGAAGCAAACAGATTAAACCTATTGATCGAGAATTAAAAAAAATATTATTATTGATAATACAACCAAAAGAATAAAATAATAATAAAAACCATTTTAAAAGATTTTAGCGTAAAGCTATACAAAGAACCATTTGTGCATAGCTAGCTAGCAATGTGATCTTCCTGGTTTAGAGGAATAATGATATCACATGAGGTTTGAAGATCAGGCTGGGTGGAATGTTAATGCGAGAACAAATGCAATAAACAAAATCAAACAAATTTGACAAACACAAATAAGCACTATTTACTTCACATTTCACGTGCAATTGTATTACACGTCTTCCAGGTTGAGAAGACGAAATTATGTCAGAATAAAATAATATGAAGATTGTGGAAGCTACACGATCAGCAGAACATGAAATATAACACACGCACGAAACTTCACCGGCAGTCTTAATTCTCTGAAAAGGGTGAATTGTTCATAATTAATCTCTGTTAAAACGTCAAAACTACATACACAATACACGTTCTGCGTGCAGCTTACCAATCAGAAAAGGACACCGGAATGTAGAAATATCTCTGGTCTGTGCAACAGCCGCAAGGTATCCCCCAAACACAAGGTCAAGAAGGACATAATGCAGCTATCTCAAAAATCAGTAGATAAGTTCTTTGCCCAAGGTCAAGAAGGACACAATGAAATTATCTTACGAAACAGGATACAAGTTCTTTGCTCGGTCAAGTCACAAAACATAAACCTCAGATGGAATTAATCAAGTGACCTCTACCGGATTTAATGTTCCAAGACTGATTTAAGAATTTTGTAAATTAATATATACTATAGGATAAGCAAATATTACAGTCATCCCTAATTTTGAACTTATAGTCTACAAAAGAAACAGTTGTTCAGCAACACCAACCGCCAATTCTCGTCTTACCGAATAGTGGGATTTGACCTTATATCGCACACAAGGGGTATTTGCGGCAACGTTCCTCATACCATAAACCCTTGGATTCACATTCTGAGCACACTAATCATTAGGCCAAGCCTAGCCCGATGTAATATTTAAATACTGAATCTTGTAATAGTCATATTATTTACTTTTTACACATTTAAAATTCTGTGATAAGCAGAAATAATTACAAGGGGGGTTGTTTGCTTTATATTCGAAAAGCACTGCTAGAGTTAGCTAATTGAGTTGTTTTTTCACTTTATACCTGAAAAACAAAGAAGTTGTTTGTTTTCACACACTTATAAACCCTTGAATGTATAAGGTAGAAAACGTAATTACCATTGACCTCAGAGTATACATATTATAGTGTTAATAGGTTTGAAATATTAATAAAAAAAACAGTTCGAATACTTTTCTGCGATAAAATTCAACAAGCAAAACTTTATGCAACGATTTTTCGTTTAGAGACTAAAAATATATTTCTGTAAGCTGCCAGTTCAGTAATGGTGCTGATTAAAAACTGAACAGTTTATTTTTATAGACTGTACAAAATTTCGGAACGGTTATGAATCATAAGATTTTCTAAAGGTATACTGTAAAATTTTGTTTTTACACAACACAATTTACGTTCTGTGTGACACAAGTCTGATATTTAAATGACTATAACACAAGTTCAATTCCATTGTGAAATAACAAATCTGAACACAACTGTGTAGAATTTTATACAACCTTTACACCAATAATAACATTAGTAAATTGGTCATTTCATAACATAAATTTAAAGTCAAACGCTATACAATAGCTATGTTTTAAAAATTACATGATATGAAAAGTGATTCGCTTTCACTAGGTGCTACTTTCAACAGACGGGTCAAACGGTAACTCGTCATAAAATGTGTCTTCACAACACAACACAACAATCTATTTACATGAACAAAATTTTTAATTGAAAATTGAAAAAGGCACGCCATTTGTGATGCTAATAAACACACAATACATAATAGTATACAGTGTGAAGCTCATTTTCTAGATAATAGTATACAGTGTGAAGTTAATCAGAATAAGACAAAACAACAACGGGTCAATGTCTTTATTTAAACAGAAATAACACACTACTGATGTATATACAACAATAACCAGGAACACTTCTATTGTGTAGTTTTTGATTGCTTGTTTTTGTGTTTTTTTATTTTGTCATCTCTCTGGATTTTTTATGTTTTATTAGCCCTGCACATAAAACAAGAGAGAACACGAGGTTTTTCAGGCCCCTACCACGATTTGTGTGATAGTATATTTCATACATGGTTGAATAATGTTTACTCGGATTTAGATCCTTATCACTTGCAATGATCTCAAATTTTAACAAACAAACAAAAAAAAACTAGATTGCTTGATAATACCCGAATTCCGCTGATTTTTTTGAGAAAATATTTACACTAGACAGACAGACAGGGTTTGTTTGTAGTTGAGTGAAAAGCTACACAGTGTGCCCACCACGGCTATCGAAATCCGGTTTCTAGCTCTATAAGTCCGCCAAACAGACAGAGAAAAAACGTAACCCTCGGTAATACAAGGAAAACATACAAAAATAAAACAATTCCGACATCACCTTGAGTCATGCTCAGTTGGCATACAAATAATTACCTGGCCTCCGAGAGTGGTGCAGTAGCGACTTCAGGATTATGATAATAACGTTTGGGGCGAATGGTGTAGAAGAGAGATGGGCTTGAAGCTAAAAGTTTATAATATCTTAAAATAATGAGGAAGGGCTATGGAAGGTAAATTAGGAAACTTTAAAGTAAGACTATTTTGCCGCAAAACGTTTTTATTCACTTTTATTTTACTAAACTCACAAATAGTAACTTTTAAATATTCTCCGTTCTTATTGACTGCGAAAGTAACAAAACTAATTGGAGATTGGATGATGTTTCATTGGGTGGAAGTTTTCTTGCTTACAAAGTTTCGTGATACTACCCGGCATTTTGGGGGGAAAAGGACAAGGAGAAAGACAAACATGTGCCCCCCTCCCCTCCCGACGTCGCCACTAGCTTGTTTACTGGTTCTCCACGTAAAATGATTAGATTTAGGACGGGATATTTTAGGTTCCATAATTAGGTTATTCCATTTTGAATATCTATTGCTGATTTCATTGATAACATCGATATACTTCTTACTATATCGAATATAATTACGTTTATTTTATTCTAATGTGTCATGAATTATTGAAATTGTATTATATCGATGAATTTGCATTGTTAGCTTAGAGTGTTTTATCAGGTGGGTACCCTCGCTGTTGTCCCCCGGTGGGACAGCGATAAGTCTTTGGATTTACAATGCTAAAATCAGGGGTTCGATTACCCTCGGTGGACACAGCAGATAGTCTGATGTGGCTTTGCTGTAAGAAAACACACCCTCGCTGGTAACGACATTTTCGGCCATTAAACAATAATGTCTCGTGTGGTTCAGCCAGTTAAGGAGATTTAGGTTAGTCCGAAATGCAGATTGTTTTATAATCGTTATAAGTAGATACAGAAGAAAAGTATATTTAATTAGTTGTACTACTGGCCAGGTTAATTTTTAGTTTCTCTGTAAGTAAGTACATATCTTACCCTGATCGGAAGTTATTATTATTTATCTATCTATCTAATGACAAGAGGAAATCCTCAATAGCCGCGGCACTTGCTATTCTTTTAGGCAGGACTGGAGTAAATTAATCCACGAGACCTTGAGCGTGGTCAAATACATCAATCGAAAGGGTTTGACCTCCCGAGTCCAAAACTGTAATGAGATCTCAAATCGGTCAAGAGATGACGGAACTATGAGTTAAAAGTTTGTACCTGAAAAAAAACAAATTCAAAACCGTTCTGTGAGCGCTATGCCGCGGTTAAAAGTTGAAGATTGCGAAACATTGCGACATTATAATATATCCATGCGTTAGGAGATTTGTATTAAAGCCATCAGGATACAAAATTCTTAATAAACATTAAATTAGAGAATATACACATTTATTATACTTTCTATCCACCACAGCTTCTTCTAACTTAAAAGGGATCTTTAGTTACGAGACTGATTTGATGTTTCACGTTATTCGATCTGATATTCACGTCACAAGCCATTACTCCATGTAGAATTACGATACCTACTCAAAATTGAGTTTAAACTTTAAATGTCGTAAACGGTATGACGGGCTAATGATCAGTGGTGTTTTGGGTAGAAAACTTACATAACAAAGATGAGTATGTATTTTATGCACAAAATATGACTATTCGTAGAGTAATGTCCACAAAAATCATATATAATTACAAAAACATAACACTGAACACACTTTTAAATCAATTTCTGTATAAATCCACTAATATTGTAAATTGTATTTTTTTTTCATACACCGTCTCTAACTTTTCTCCTGTAATACTCAAAATTCAAGAATATTTCAAGACTTTTGTTGCCTGTAACTAATTAAATCAATACCTTGAGTTGCTCTGAATCAGAACCTTGAAGTTGTGACATTGGACTGATACTTTCCAGTTTTACAACTAACTCGTGGTTATAATAACATTTATATTTTCATAATGATGTGGTCGTTATCACTGTAAGATAATTACAAAATATATAAAAAAAAAGATTTCGACTTACATTCCAGTGACACTTATAAAATAGTGCTTCAAAATAGTCTGTCAATTAAGGAGAAATCGCCGAGAGAGAGAGAGAAAAAAAAAAGTCAAACGCAACATACAACAGTTTTGTACTCAAAGCCTTAGTAGAAAAATAATACCTATTTTGGCGTTCTGCCAACAAACTTTAAACAAGTATGTAGATACTTAATAGTGCTTCATCGTGTCACATGCCATGCTGACGCATACCCTTCAAATGGCCTTCAAAAATTTATATTTTTTCCCATCGTAACCATTAACAATAATTAGTCTTACCACCAGAAATACAGTGGGGCTCAGATCTCTTCAGTTCGGTTGACTGGGACCACTTCTATTTCATCCCCCATCGTACCTTGAATATCTTTATTTTTTTTCAATCTAGTACAACAGATAGATGCAGTTATCAAAGCTCCAGTTATTAGGATACCTCCTCCAGCGGCCAATGTAGCTGTTGTCACGCGAGCTGGACACGTGCGTAGGCCTAGGCACAACACTCCTGTTAACAGAACAGAAAAAGCAAGGCAAAAACAAGATATCGAAACACACTTTCGTTGATAGAACATAGTAATTTCCTGTTATTCACATTTCATTCATTCGTAGTCAATGTTGCTGTGTTTTAGTCAAGCAGTAGAGACACAAAAACACCTTAAACTAACTCCCGCCTTCTATTCACCATCTCCTCAGTTGAAGTGCAAGTGCTATCAGGTCATCTGTCAGTCATCACTTCAAGGACTCGTGCAAGTCAACTTCTGCAGAGCTCAGTGTTTATCAGAAATAACAAATAGTCTACAAATATATAAGAAAAATCAAAACCGATTTGGGCTCACAACTCAATGTACTAGATAGTTTTAACACTCTTCTAGCACTAAGTATAACTATAATAATACTGTCATAGACTAATCCATGTTTATAATCTCCTCGATAATAACACAAGCATGCGCAGAAAGTTCGCGCTATGATGTAAGATTATTATTAACTTGTTTGCTGCGATGGACATATTCTCTGCTTGTATAAATATTTCCGGACATATCATATGACCAAAAAAATAGGTCGGTTGCCATGTTGGTTCTGAGTAAACGTCTTTTAATTGACAGAAAATATTGTAAATGTGTGAAACACCACACGAAAATAACAGCCGGTTCAGTAATAGTTACGTAACTAAAATATAATGCAGCATACAGCCCATGCACTAACAAACATTAACTGAAACGCCTCTCCAACAGAAGGTGACGTTCACGAGAAATAGCTTCGAAAATTCCTTCAAGCAATGTATTTGTCAATAACTTTGTCGAACACGTGAGATTTCCTTTCGAGTTTCCGACTTCAAAACTTTTAGTCTACTGCTCATTGGCTTATCAGGTGGCTTGGTTTCTGCCACATTTCTCACACAACTATGAAACACGTGTTTAAGCAACGAGGTCAACATGTCTTGTAAGATTGGGAAAACAAAATACCCTCTGTTTGGATTTTACAGTAACTGTGCCTGTTGCTTAGTTCAAACGTATTTTAAAAATAATCTAACTACAACTAAAAGCAAAGTACCATTATATAAAAACGTATTTATTATCAATGAAACTATCAACGAACACAAAAAATAATCTAACTACAACTAAAAGCAAAATATAAATGTATTTGTTATCAATAAAACCATGAACGAATATAAAACACTACAATCAGTCGGGAATAAGTCACATTTATTACAAAATGGCGGGAAACATCTAATGAAAACAAGCGTATTTTACAAGTTTCTACAGCAATTTGCATGACTTATCGGAACGAAGACAAATTACCAATAATTCAGGAAAAAGACCACACGCTCACGTGATGTCCAGAGGCCGACAGCTTTCCAGCTACATTGAATATTTCATTATTTTATTTTTCAGCACCGCTCAAGTACCAAGAAAAAGACGACGTAATCATATTAGATTTTGTTCAAACCATTATCAAAAAATAATAGTTTTTTCTATTTAAACGTTTTTAGATATATTAGAACTTACGCCGACTAGCTTATACATATGCATGATAGATAGATGAATATTTCATATGTGAACATTTTAGCTACACTGAATGGCAGAATGTTGCCTGGGTGTTTGTCACTTCTTTATTGTCAGGATTCAACCACTGAGTAGCGTAATGTAACCAATCTTTTCTCTCGACCTCACTATGGAACATTTACCTTAGAAATAGGAAGCCCACAACAAGTTGCAGGAAATTGTGTCAGATGCTATGTATGTCACTATAAGACAATACATGTCATGAGTAATGTTTTATTCAGGCCATGGGTAAGGATTTCTTCTTAGCAGTTATCATATGACGTTGTAGAACATTCTTTAAACACTTATTCAAAACTACATTTATATGTTCATAATAGAAAAAATCAAGACATCTGTAGTGGTCATTTTTTACACAACTTTCGATTGTGACAAGATCGAGATCGTTAACAGCAAATATCAAAACGTCAAGAAGGCACCTACCCAACCACTACCTTATAGATTACTACAGGCGTGAACAGGGTGGATAGGACCTTCTATCAGGTTGTTAACATATCTAATTCCAGCAGTTTCAGGTATGGGGATTTAGGTCTTGTAGACCTGGGAGGGTCAGGTTCCAATTGACCTCTTCCTCCCTCCTGTATTATTGTAATTTATATTCTTCTTACTGATTTGATGTGTTGACTATTGTATTTTGTATTTTCATTGTTGCTTGTTTATTAATTATTTGTTTCCTTATCAAGGCCACGTCTATGTATTTTATCTAATATCTGTTGTGTTTATTGTGTAGACTTATTTTCTTTCTTGTATTGTTGTGTCTTGTGTTTTATGTTGTAGAGCTCGTGAACTGATGTATTATGTATGGAATTTGAGGTGTGAAGTACTGTTTGGCGATATTTATGGTTAGTGTGATACAGTCTTGTGTAATAAAATCATAAAATGTTTTTTGTTTTTTTTGACAACTTCAGTGATTGGGTTTAATGTCTGTTCTTAGCTGTTTTGCTCTTGTGGTTGTTGTGTTATGTGTACTGTGGCTTGTGTTTTTGTTTGCTTCGTTTTGTTATTCTGTTTTTGTGTGCGTGCTGTGTTGCCTGTGTGTAGGTGTGAGTTTTCGTGTTTTCGGTTTGCTGTGGCGTTGGTAACAGTGTTCTTCTGTCTGTACAATATGGTGTATTTGTTTGATTTACGTTAGTTTGTGTATTTAAAATGCGTTTTGATGTCCTTATACTTAGGACATCATTTATAGTTAGCTGTATGTTGCAGCTGGTAGTTGCAGCAGAGTGTTTGTGAGCTGGTTTTAGGGCATTCTGAATTGCGGTGTTCTTCCCCGCAGCCTACACAGCGAGGTTGTGCTTTAAAAGCTGTCGCTACATGTCTGTTTGTTTGTTTTGCATTTCGCGCAAAGCTACACGAGGGCTATCTGCGCCAGCCGTCCCTAATTTAGCAGTGAAAGACTAGAGGGAAGATGAAGACAGCTAGTCATAACCATCCACCACCAACTCTTGGGCTACTCTTTTACCAAATAATAGTGGGATTGATCGCTACATTATAACACCCCCACGGCTGAAAGGGCGAACATGTTTGGTGGACGGGAATTTGAAACTGCAACCCGCAGATTGCGTGTCGAGCGTCCTAATCACCTGGCCATGCCGGGCCAAATTCCGGTCTCTCAACTAACGGTATTACAAACAAAATTATGTTATATACATGTTTACTGTTTTACAAGGGAAGAAAGAACGAAGGTAGGAGTTAACACCATTAACTCTATTTTATTTTATTCTCTTAAAACACTGAAGTGGCTCAACTAAAAACACAAAAACATATTTTTTATGTGTTCATGTAAGGGTTAGATGTAATCAAGATTATACTTATGTAACAAACTCAAGGCCTATATACAGAAAACAAAACCTTTTTTAGGTAGGATGTATTTAGAAAATAAAGCGAGAGAAAAAAAAGAAGGTTGATAAAATTAAACCATCAAGATCAGAAATAGTTTTATTAAGAATATTCTGAACTTCTGATATTTCGAGTTTTCAACAAGAATTATTGCTCTCATTTTATTGTTCAGTTTGTGCATGCATCATACACAATATAATAATTAATTTCTTAAAATAATAACGAAACAAAAACTGTTATTTTTCATGTAAACAATAACTTAATTATATTTTTTTTTCTCATAGCTATTGTAGACATTTAAACAAAAGCAATTTTATTGATGTTATGTAATTACCGATATCCGACTGCAAGCTACGTTTTTGTCTCTTCTTCACTAACGTCGGATGTTCGACGTTTTTATTTTGTATTTTATTATATATATATATATTCATGAGGTTAGGAAAACAAATAGGTTCAAAAAATGTTCTGTTATATATATAATTAATCAAGACAATATAATGTTCAGCTAAACGTTAAAAACACCATTATCCTAACTAAAGGTCTACGTGCTATTTTCTATATTTATGTTTCTCATAATCCACAAAATAAACTTCTCCATTTTTACTTTAACGATTTCAAGGTTCTTAAGAGAATGATAAGTGTTCGAAATTTCCATGAATCTGGACTTGTCATTTCTTTTGAAACTATACCCCCCTCCCCCCATGGCTTATAACGCTAAAATTTTCAATAACCGTCGTGGGAAGAGAACAAATAATCATATTGTGTTGCTCTACGCTTGACAACTAATATACGTTTGCAACTCTTCGTCATTGTAATCTGTTTAAGATCTAGAATTATACATTACTGAGTTCGATTATTTTATCTAAATTAAAGACAAAAAATAGATGTTTTTACAGTGTTATCGTACCAGAAAGTTACGAGCTGTCAACTGAAGCAACAAAACCTTTAGGTACAAGGATTATTACGGCTGACCTTTCAGACATTTTCTAGGGAGTAGTTGATTCATGTCTACGACTTTATATTTCCCTCCAACTTTTGTGTTAAGCTCGAAATTCATTAACATCCACATGTCTTTACATTTGTGATTGTTTATTTGTTTTTTAGCCCAAAGCCACACAATGGGCTATCTTCGATATGTCCATTACGGGCAATCGAACCCCGGATTCTTGCTTTGTAAGTACATGAACTTACCGCTGACCCATTGTGTGGAGGGGGGAGTACACTTGTGTTAAGATCGACGTTTGTTTACACTTGTGTTGAGATCGATGTTTCGTTAAACATGTGCTAATATCGACGTTTCGTTACATTTATGTATGTTAAGATTGACGTTTCCATACACCCAAGTTTCCCATAAAGACGTCGCGATAAAAGGACAGACGTTTATCTAACATTTACATATATTGATTCATATCCAATTACAGTAAACAACCAAATTTCTTGCTATTTGTTCATTCTTGAGTAATTGTTATTAGTAGGAGCCACGTAAGTAACCACATCCTTGTGTAGTACTTCCCGCTGATTCATCCAGTTAGTAAGCGTAATAACCTAAACAGAAGAACT